TAACTTGTACTACTATTCCTACTTTGCGGTTTTTTACTTATTGCGAGGGACTGAGAATGAAAACCCCCACGATAAACGAGGAACTACTGTATACTCATAAGAGAAACAGCAGGGGAGGAGTCCTGGCAAGCCCCTCCCACTGCAGCACGTCACACACAAACAGGAGCTACACAGACAGCACAGTTGGCAGTGTGGAGGTTTATTTTTCATTTCATGATGGAGGAGTTGGAGGAGGACAGTCCAGTTTATGTTTATGTTGTAAACTAAGTAGAAGCGCCATTTTGGTAAATTTTCACAAAGATGCAACTTCTGGTTTCAACAGACAGGTCGGAAAGTGTCCCCATGCTGCCCAGCTGAGATGTCCTGCCTCCTGGTCAGCACAGAGACCCAGCTGGGTCCCCATGCCGTTGCCTCCGTGAACACAAATAGTCCACTCTCCTTCCATGAGTTTCTTGACAGTTTCTCAGTTCTCATGGAACCGATGGTTATTTACACATGAAGTGCAACACCATCAAACTCCGGTGTGAACAGCAGCGGTGGGCACAGTTCCTCTGATCTGCTAACAGCAAAACTCTTTTGTTGTTTAGCGGATTATTGTTATAACTTTGGAGACCGTTAGCGAAATTAGCTTCCGCTAAAGTAGATTTCGCCAATTTAAAGTCTGCTAACAAAATTCATGAACTTGTTCCTGTCTGTTGTGGGCGTGTCTTGAAGTCTGTCAGGCACGCTATTGGCTGACTACATGTACACATGATAAGACGTGTCTGGAGACGAAGACATGTGGTGCAGACAGAAAGACAGTTGTCTTAGCGGTTAGCTTCAACTAATTTTTTTTTTACTTGTTTAGTTGTTTAACATTAGAAAAGCTAATTATTTTTTAGTTTGCATATGAGTTTGTGACGTTTTGGGTAGCTGTGTCCACCACTGGCGAAGAGTCTCCGGGTTGCTGATCCGATTCCTTGCACAGAATCAGGACTCACGAGTCCGAGGTCTCAGTTAACCCGGCTCCTACAGGTCCTCTGGGAGACTGCCAGTTCACGACTGAGTGTGCTCACTGGAAACACTGGGACTCAGTTGAGTCCTACGTGCATGTTTACATCTGTGTTTACATGAATTTTACCACATGAATTAATTGAATTAACAAATTGTACGTCTTTGTTCAAGGTGTTTTATCCTTAAGCCGTGTGTTTCTTGGTATGAAAATGTAAAATTAACATCTCTGAGTAAAACAAATGTGGATTATCGTTTATTAACAAAGAGTTTGGTTTTTTGGGGGGGTGGGATGAGAAATGACTGACTGAAGTGAACCGAATCACTTTAGTGAATCCATAAAGTGAACTGAATTCATCACCTCAGTGAGACGCTCAGTTCCAGTGTGTGTTGGGAGGCGGGGGGGGGGAGTGTGTGTGGGAGGAGCCAGGACAGAGAGGAGCTTGCTGAATGAGGGGGCGGAGGGGGGGGGGCGTTGTCTCCACTGTGCGTCCCTCTGCTGCGCGCGGAACACTGAGGTGTGAGGCGCGCTACTCCGAGGAGAGCGAGCAGCGACGCTCTCAGACACACGCGCTCGTGCGCACACACCATCGGATGCAAATATGTCACGAGCGCCGGGCTGTGCCGCGAGCGCCTCAGATTAAAACCCACGCAGACGCAGAGCGGACGGTTGAGGATAATTCCGCCATGGGAGGACAGATCACCAGAAACACCTTGTACGGTAAGAATTCAAGCCGCTGCTTCATTATTCGGTCCGGATGGTTCCGGTTCGGGTATGAATGGGTCTCCCTCGGTGCGGGTACCAGAGCACCACAGCCTCCTGTCAGCTCCCTGTTACGTCACTCCGATGGCTCGAGGGAGAGCTTTCAGGACGCACAGCTGTTTTCTGACCAACGCGAGGAGTGACACCGGAAGTGGTCACCTCAGGTTGGTTGTTCCTTCATCCCAGGCGTTTGCGTCCGGCTGCTGGATGCAGGAGGAGCAGCAGCTGCTGTGGAGGGATGGGAAGTTCAGGGGTTTCCCTCTCTGCTGTAGTTTCCCTCGTTAATTTCACGCGCAGCTGCGTTTTGACGCAAACACTTCCACGCATTTCTGCTGTTTTGGAGCCGCCTCGTCCAGATCCAGACCAGCTTCTCCCACTGCACAGCTGCTGGAGTTAACAGTAGAACAATGGTGGAGCTCGTGGTTGAAATGTAGGCCAGCATCCGGGCCGATGTGGTGACAAACAGCCTCAGGCCGGTTCCTACACCCCCTCCTCCCCCCTCCGAACCGACAGAGACTCGGGAAATGATGCTGGAGCCACGGAGTCCTGATGTTTTGTTGATAAATGAATAGAAGAGCAGGAGGTGAGGCTGTGACCCTGCTGCCACCTGATTGGTCCAATTAAAGCCTCACCATGAATCCAATTACTGTAAGCAGCACAAGGAGAGCTGAAGGTCAACACCTCACAGAATCCCTGCTCACCAGGTGTGTGTATTATTTACCACACGCACTGTGTGCTCACTAACTGTGTTAGCTGCTGTGATGGGCGATAACATGAGCGCAGACTGACTCACGTAACCGACTCAACCTCGGCCTAAACGTCGGCTTGGTGGCTCCGTAGGGCCATATCTTAAGCGGCGATGGATTTTTCCTCCAAGAATTGCTGATTTTATCATAATTTCTATTTTTTTTAAATAATTTTCACATCATGAGACAATATCAGACTCATCAATCTCCTCAGTTTGCAATGAAAAGTTCAATATAGTGATTTAAGCAGCGCCAGCGTCATTGCAGAGTCACAGATTCTTTATTGTCGTTCGCACCCCACGTGGTACACGTGGTGGAGCAAAATTATGTACACAGGGTCCCAGTTACAGCCAACAATAAAATGTAAAAGAAAAACAGTGATGTAAGATATGAACTAAGAAAAACATCAACTATACGCCAAGCACTAATAGCATAAAAACATTACATCGAACAGCAGCACGAACATGAGTCTGTGTGAGCAGATGAGCACAGCAACATGAAACAGATCAGCAGCAACATGAAACAGATCAGCAGCACATTATGTGATTTTTCACAGTGATTATTCTAGTTAGAGATTCATGAATCTAACAGCTTCAGGGTAGAAGCTGTTCCTCAGTCTAGTGGTTCTACACTTAATGCTCCTTAACCTCCTTCCTGAGGGGAGCGGGGCAAAAAGTGTGTGTGCTGGGTGAGTGTGGTCCTTCATGATGCAGGTGGCCCTCTTCCTGCATCTGGAGGTGTAGATGTCTGTGATGGTGGGGAGGCTGACTCCGACAGTCTTCTGTGCAGCAATTACATTTGTAACGTAACTATTTTGAAGCTGCTTTTGTTTGGTTGGTGGTTTCCAGGGAAGAAATGTCAAATGTCGTGTGGGGAGCCACTTTTACGTGAACACACACAGGGACTAACGCAGAAAGTCTGAGTTAACACCAGAATCATTGTTGTAGTACAGTAGTCCCTAGTTTACTGTGGAGGTTAGAGCCACCCCCCCCCCACCCCCCCCGGCAATAAGTGAAAAACCACAAAGTAGGGATACAGTAGTACAAGTTCTAGTAAACTTTATGGTCGTTTTAAAATTTTTTAATTTTAAATAGTTACTCACCAGAGAAGATGAAGAGATGAATAATTTTTTGGATGATCGTTTCCTCTGGTATCAGATGCTGTGCAGCTGGAAGGATTTTTACTGAAACTTTTTTAGTTTTGGACATTTGTTATGATGCGTAACCATGGCAACAAGGCAGTTTTCTACAACAAACAGCAGCTGATTATCATCTCAAAAGCTCAAATAATATCTTAACTACAGCCACAAATCTCAAGTGAGTTGAAAAGGATGTTCTGTGGACGCATTCTCATCTACCTGCCAGCTGTGCTCGAGTGCCTGACCACTGAGATCCTGGAACTAGCAGGAAACACGGCTCACGACAGCGGAAGGACAGGATTTGGCTGTCTGCAGCAACAAGGAGCTTGGCAGACTGCTGGGAGGAGCGGCCATTGCTCTGGGAGGAGTTCTGCCCGGCATTCAGGCGGTCCTAAAGCCCGGGAGAACTGAGAGGCCAGCCGAGTCTGGGTGGACGGATCGGACGGCATCTGCAGCCAGTTTCTTAGGATCCACTGTGGGATGGACCTTTACAAGAGATCCTTCCTGCCTACAGCCTCCGTATCTATAACATCCCTTAATGAAATGAGGATAACGAGTTACAACAACAAATAATTTCCCTCTAGGATTAATAAAGTATTTTTGAATTGAACTGAATTAGCTGTCCAGTGATGACGATGAACGTGATGAAGATGAGATGAAACCAGGCACTTTGGCGTTGTTCTTCATAATAAATTGCGAGATGGCATATTTCTTTTTGTTTTGTTTTTGTACTACTAGTGCTTAGCGTATTTTTAGTTTAACATTTTTTCTGAGTTCATGTCTTAGATGTTATCACTGTTTTTCTTTACAGTTTATACTTTTGTTGGATGTAACTGGGACCCTGTGTACACAATTTCGTTCCACCACATGTGGTGCATATGACAAATAAAGAAACTTTAACTTTTCCAGAACAGGCCCGTTTCATCCACGTTAAAAACTTGTTCAGGCCTGTAGCCCCCCCTCGGTGATCAGATCTTTGAACGTCGTGTTAACAAACTCCTCCGCTCCTGCTGTGGACGCAGCCTCTCCGTGCTTCAAAACACTTTTTAATCCAAATTGTTGTTTAAATTTGTCGAACCATCCCTTCCTGGCACTAAATGCAGTTGGTTCGGGAGTTGAACCAGGTGGTTGAAGGCCCAGCTTCGGGTTCGTTCCCCTCCCAGCTCCTCATTTACATCGCCATGACGATGTAAATGAGGAGCATTAATCCACACGACCAACGCAGCATCCATCTTAGTAGTTCTGTAAAAGGCAGCATCAAGTCTCTATCAATCATTCACACTCGTAGTACTATCAGTAAACATGTAGTATTTGTACACACCAAACAGAGTGCAGTACGCAGGTATCTTCTCGTACGTGTTGGTGTTAGCCAGCCTGGTAACACGTAGCTGCGTTCCTCAGGTTTTGAGTTAATCAAAAAGCACACGGGCGGAGCACTCTGACTGATTACATTCCTGTAGATAATTGAACGTTTCGACGTATTGACGAAAGCATTGATTGGTTTATCAGTTCCTGCAGGAACACTCGGCTTTGGACTCAAATCAAACCCCGAAGAGTCTGCGAGCAGCGGCGAGAGGAGGAGTGGGCTCAACTACATTTAAAACTGAATCACTGCCCGTTGCTATGACGACCGGCACTGTTGTTCCTTCAGCTGAATGGATTCTTAATATATATATATATATATACACAACAAGCATAAAAATATTAAAATTCATTTCATGGACGTCTTCCTCTTTTTATAAAACTCATCTTTTGGAGAAACCTCACAGGTTACTGACGGATTCTAAATGTTTTTATTTCAGGATTGGAATGTGAGGGTTTGATGGGAACAGATGATGTTTCTTCCGTCTGAACATCTGAACGTGGGTTGCGTAATACGGCGGGTGTGTGGGAGATCCTGCGGTCCGACTGACTGAAAGTGGGCCGTGTGTCTGAGGTCGACTCCGCGGGGCGTCTGGCTGAACAGAACCAGGTTCAGGCGTTACAGGCCGAGCTGACCGGACCTCGTCAACGTCACTGCTGCAGGATATTTAACACCAACTAAACATTCAGCATTAAACCAGCCTCCGTGAAAGGCGGGTGACAATCGTCTGCCTCTGTATGTGCAGCTGTTTTCTAGCTTGTTTGTTAGCAAAATATCTAATAAACCAGTAAACGGGTTTGGTTAAACTCTCAGAAGTTAATTGTAGTAATACCAAAGTTCATGCTCAGTAATCCAGATAAAAATCCATCAATGTTCAGTCAGGTCATCTGGACGTTTTTTGCTGAGACATTTCGTCCTTCATCCAAAGGACTTCTTCAGTCTGAGGAGCCACTAAAACAAACTGATTCCCACAAACAGCATACTCCATAGTGGGAAAAAAACAGTTTGCTGGTGCCAAGATGGCCTCCGGGCCCGCCTTCTCCCCCAACAACTCCTCTGAGGCCGTCAAGCCGGGGGAGATGACGGGGGAGAGGGTGGGCCCTGGAGGCCATCTTAACACCAGCAAACTGTTTTTTTCTGCTTTGGGAGTACGCTGTTTGTGGGAATCAGTTTGTTTGGTGGCTCCTCAGACTGAAGAAGTCCTTTGGATGATGGACGAAACGACTCAGCACTGAAAAAGAAACCGTCCAGATGACCTGACTGAACATTGTTGGATTTTTATCTGGATTACTGAGCATGAACTTTGGAGTTTTGAACCACTTTGGCATGACTGTCTCAGAAGAGTTGACGGAGGGACGGGCCCCGGAGGCCATCTTAACACCAGCTAACTGTTTTTTTCCCACTAAAGTATGCTGTTTGTGGCAATCAGTTTGTTTTGGTGGATCCTCAGATTGAAGAAGTCCTTCGGATGAAGGACGAAATATCTCATTAAAAAAGAAACCGAACATTGTTTAGTTGTAGAATCTGTCTGCAACTGACTTACCAGATTTAAGATGGCCGACACAGCTACATGACTTTAGTGAAAACAAACTGGATGTTACTGAGTTAATTTTACAGATAATGAGATGAAATCAGGTGTGGTAGTAGCTGAGCATCGTCCCAAACAAAGCGAGTGTTAACCGATCGTGCAGGGTGGCAGGTGATGAGCATT